CTCTCTCTCTCTCTCTCCTCCTCTCTCTCTCTCTCTCTCTCTCTCTCTCTCTCTCTCTCTCTCTCTCTCTCTCTCTCTCTCTCTCTCTCTCTCTCTCTCTCTCTCTCTCTCTCTCTCTCTCTTCGTCTCATCTCTGGGGGAGCTCGAATTCCCTTTTCCACCGCCTTCCCTTTAACACGCGCGCGTCTACAAGACGCATGCGACTCATGCACACGATCATCTTTACCTCCCCTATGAGATCTAGAAACATCGGTAGTAGCAATAATCGCTCGTTATCAAGGGGATTTAATCAAATTTTTCCCTAAAGCCTTAAGTGTAAAAAAATTCTTTTTTTACTTTTTGAAATTAGATTTAGATTAGAAAAGATTAGCATATTTTTTTATCAATCGCAATTTCATTTGAAACAATTTCTTAAATTACAAATAAAGAAATACGAATGTTTCCTGATAAACGTTAGATATTAACTTATAAATAATATAATTAAAGGAGAAATGGGATGAAATGAGATAATAGAATACTAAGAGATTTGAAACGATTGCACAACTGGCAAGACTACTGTAAACTAATTGTGCAAAGATTTACGAGGATCGACGTTATGAAAATTACAAAAGTTACAAATTGATTCTGTGCTACTTAATTATTTGTTTCGGATGTGATAATTATTTCGCGATGTGCCTTGACGCAAAGGAGTTTGAAATAATTCGTATAAACATCGCGTGCGTCACGATGCGCCTTATGTAGCAGTATAATATTAGACACCCAGTGAACGCACCCCCTCGCTCGTTGATATCTCGTCGCTATAAGATACACGGGAATATCGCACGGGTATATGCGTGCGCGTTTCGGATGCGTGTGCGTGCCCATTCAGAAACTCTTCTTTCTAGTGGCCCATTGAAGAATTCAGCCGCGAGTTGGTCTGTGTTATCTTAACACTTTGAAACCGAAAATACCGAATTTGTATCTTGCTGCCGGCGTTTCCTGGAATTCATGAAAAGTAGTCCATAAATTAGATAACATTATAAAATCAATGCAAAAATCTGATTTATTTTAAAAGCAGCATTAAATTCATTTCTTGTGTATATCATTAAAATTAATTTATTTTATACGCGGATCGAGATCGCTATTGAGATCGCTAAATTTGAATTTAATTTATATTATTTAGATCGTAAATCTTTTGAAATAAATTGTTTGAATAATTAATGATATGATATTTAAATAATATGAATGATATGATATTTATAAATAATTTGAATGATTTGAATAATTAATTATAAAGGTATATGTTAGGTATTACGTGGGACTTCGATCTACCGATCGAAGCTAATAAAACAATGATTAAGATCGATGAAGACGAAAATGCGATCTGTCGTAACGAGGAAAATCGGACATCTCTAAGTTTAGCTCGTATTTGCATACAGATCAGGGACGAATTCGAGTTGCCAAAGCACCATAACATATAAGGATCGACAGATTTTTTTTCAATGAGGAAATTCAAAAGTGACATATAAGAAATTTACAAAGCAATTAAAATTATTTTTGTCTTATATTAATTTAACATACAATTAACAATTTTCAATGTTCTCTAAAAAATATTGAATCAACATTTTCTAAATTTTTAACCAATCATTATCTAATTTTTTTAAATTATCAAGAATTTAATCATTTTGATTAAAATACTATTTAATCGATTATAATTTTTATCGTCCAATTTGACATTAATCTGTAATTTGACAAACTTTTATAAGAAGTATCAATGTTGCACAAGGATATTTCTCTACTATGATTTAGAAATACTAATTTCGAAATCGCAGCTCACCAATTTATCTCTTGACGAAAGCACATCGTGACAGAAAGCGCTCGTGACGATTGTCGGTTTCCGGATGCATTTGCCTGACGATTGTCGTAGATCAGAGCCTATCTGCCAAAAAATAAAATAGTTAGATAAAATTATTCGAACGATACATAAGAACAGAATATGCGTAAAAGAGAGAACATATGTTTGACAGAACAAGAAAAGAATCAAAATATATAAAAAAGATACATTTATTCTAAAAATAATTTAAAAGAAATTTATAGCTAGTTTAAAATTTCTATTAGTTTCCATATCATGTCACATTTGATCAAAAAAATAATAATTCAAATGGTTGATGACATATTTGTGTAAGTTATTTATGTGACTCTTACGTAAAATTGCATTCGCCTAATTTTATTTGCTTCTGACATTATAATTGAAGACATCTTGCACACGTGTGGCAAGCCCTTAATAGAAATAGCAAAGAGAGCGATCACACATCGTGGACGCGTCACTAAAAAATCTAATTAACTGGAAGATATGCCAGCAGACTCGGGCGCTTCGGTCATAAAACGAAATATCGCGGCTTATTACACGGCTGCAACAATTTTAGAGGCGAGTCTTGGCTGATCATCAGCGATTAAACGATATCTACAGGCAACGACGATGATAGCAAGCGCTTGGCATGGGGTGACTCGCGCTTATATATCGCGACTCGATTTAACTATCGCCGTTTATATTATGTCCGTGTCTACCTGTCGTCGGCAGCGCGAGAATCCGTGGATCCGACCGATGCCAATGATCGAAAAATAGATACGAGCGCAACCTGTTCGAAATAGCCGAAGTGAAACCTATGACACGCCGAACGCGTGGCTCTTCTGAACCGTATTCTTCTGTATCGCAACGAAACCTGTGGATCAATTCATTCACGATCAATATAAAGTAATATAAAAACAAAAAGTAATTTAAGAAAGTAATGTAAAAGTAAAAATTTAAAAGTAATTAAAAAAAAAAGATATTACGTTGTACTATTAATTTTTTAGTTCAAAGAAATTGAAAGAAGTAGATTGGACTTAATTAATTGAAAGAATTAGATTGGAATTAATTAAAATGCTTGTATAGAATCTATTTTATTGAAGAATCGCGTGCATTAATGTTTTTTTTTTTTTAAAAAAGAACTGTGATATTTCTTCTGGTCTTTGTTTTAATTTTCTTCTTTGCAGGTCAAGAGATCACTCGCGACCGCGAAGGTGTCTAAGCCCATAAAGGAGGAAGGAAATCTAATTATAGAAGTCGTTGTACCGCGTGCTCAGCGAAGAACGATGGAGGGTGTGAGTGCGGGTGCACGAATAAGAATCGGTTATGCATTGGGCGGCCATAAAATGCAGTCTGCATCCGCTCGACGCAGATGTACTGCGGAACGGGGTTCGTTCCTCCTCCGCAAAGGATCTCTCGTTTCGGTGTTAGGCGGCCTACCGAGATCCGCGAAGCGCGATTAATCGAAGGGAGATTCATAGTTCTCCTTGAACCCTCCGGATATTATCTGGACAATATTTAAATGAGTCAAGTTAAAGCGAATTTTTTTGAGCATTTGTTGCAATTTCCACACATATACATTTGTTTTTCTTCTAAATTTATTTCTTTTATAAATATATATGATATATTGTAAATATTGAAAAGAAAAAAGAGCAAATAGTAGAGGATGAATAAATTTAAAGATTTAAATAAAATTATATAGTTTTACTAAAATAGTTTATAACATAAATTATACGCTCTATATAGTTTATATCCTTTCACATATTGTATCATTAAAATATTTCTGGAAGTTTATTTGTTCTGTTCCTCTTAATTTAATCGAAAGATATAATGTATATATTGTATTCAGACTTTTGGCTTTTCAGCAGTATATAGTAAAAAGTGAATAATTATTTATCTACTAGATATATTAATATGGCAATGTAAGATAATGAAAAGATTAAAACTGTTTTAAAACAAATATAATTATTTGATTATTTGAAGTAGATCTCAAGAATTTCTGATTTCAATCTCAAGAATTTCTTTAATCAAAGTAGTAATGAAAGCGAAGTGAGATTAGGTATGTTATCTCACTTTACTTGATAGTAATCGATACTTCATTGAGAATTTTTTTCCAACACATTAACAGACGTTATCGTCTATATGGCACGACTTTGGTCATTATGCCATTCATTTATTCCGGGAGCCATGTGGTTCATTACTAACTCGTGCGGCATTTCCTGCCTTCTATGGTGATAAAAAAGATTCTAATACTTTGTGTCAAATTTTATATTGAAAAGAATGACGAGAATGGCTCAGATTCATATATTTATATACATATGTATAAGACAAAAAGAAATTAAGAGACTGAGCAATAAGTTGAATGTAAATGTATGTATTGTTCAATCAAATAAATAAAAATAAATTAATTTATATAATTCATTCTTGACCATAAATTTTCAGTGAAATGTAAATTTAAGAAACATTCAAATATTGTAAGATAATTTTTATTAATACTAAAGATGGCCCGACGTTGATCAAATTATTTGTTATTTAATTATTAATTTTAATTAGATAATACGTATTATAGTATTTATATTCAGTTTGTTGCTTATAAGCTCTTTTTTTCTATTAATTTTTAACCTGAGCTTCTAATCAATTGTATTTTAATTTTTATAAAATAAATTATTCTAGATATGTCAATCCTCCACAGTTTTGCGTTTGATGTACAATTAAGCCTTAAATTAATTAATTAATTCAGACTTATTTAGCTGCCAAACGCATAATGCGAATACAAGCTAAAGATGTACGAAATTACAGATTACCTGTACACCTGTACAGTTTCCCTTCGCAATGAAATAGACTCTTCGATCTATTTTGTTTTTTTTTGCAACGTGGATTTCTTCCAATTATGCTAATATAAGCTTTCGCCGATCATTCCTGGCGTAAGGTTCGACCGCGCCGCACGTCGACCAATTCCAGCTGCTAGATCTCGCGCGTGATCAACTCGTGCCGCGCAAGCTGCGATTATTATTGTTTCCC